CCTGAGCTCCAGGTACCAGGGGAAAGTTCTGACTCATCGAGGGCCTGCGCCTGCACCTCCGAGGGTCTGTTTTCCCGACAACCACCTTCCTTCCTCCCTCTGCTCACTCCACGCGCACCCCATGTCTCTGGAGAAAAGGACACTGTTGTCAACTCGTGCCGAGAGCATTCCCTTGGAACGAGTTCCTCCAAGCCGAGCCCAGTGGCTCTGCTTCCTGCCGCAGCTGTTGCAGGGGGGAAGGGGGGCAGGGCTTTTGCCAGCAGCCTCGCTGTTTTCTTGCCTCTAAGCAGTGGCATCCTTCTAGTTTGGTTCTTTATAAGACCCAGTCCACGGAGTGCTCAAGGGAGACGTTGCAAACACTTTGGGGATGGGGGGTGGGGTGGGCTGTAGTTTTGTTCGCTGCTGTGTCCCAGCATCTCCTGGGCACATAGTGGATAGATATACTTTCATATGCTTGTGGGATAAATGGTAACGAGCAGTTTACATTCTGGTTTGCTCCGAATTAAATCCGATCACTTCCCCACTCCAGAGCTGCTAAGATCGTCTCCTTATCCCAGCAATCACCCTCACACTCGGTCCCCTTCTTTGACAGCCCACACTTGCTTCCTGGGAGAACCGACTGTCATAGTTTCACGGGGCACTAGGAAGGGCCGCAGCCCATCCCTGAGAAGACGTGTGGATGAAAGTCTGTGTTCTCTACCTGTTGTTGTTTTTTATTTTAATTTTAATTTTTCAGCAGCTCTTCTTCCACCTCTGACAAGCTGAGACTTGTAAGACGTCCCTCAACAAGCTGAAGCAGAGTGTGACCAGCGCGAGCGGCTCCCGCACCAGCCCCAGCTTCCAGCCAAGCTTTCAGTCAAGCTTCTTGGGCCGGGGCCAGCAGTAATCACACATTCTTTATGTGTAGATTGGGGATAAAACTACTATTTCACTTCTGGTGTGAAGACAAGTGGGTTTAATAATCGCAAGAGTGGGACTAGCTCTTTCCACAGTTATGAGTGGGGGCTCTGGTCCAACTGCCTGGGGGTGGATACCAGCCCCACAGCATCCTAGCTTTGTGACCCTGGGCAAGCCACGTCCTCGCTCGGTGCCTCTGTTTGCACTATGGCAAAAATGGGGTAGTTATCCCTGCTGGGGTCAGCTTGTGGGAGGAACTACAATGACATTTCAGGACTACTGGGAGACCCAAAACCAGACTCTGCCATCAAGACACTTCTGGCTCCGGGCAGCCCTACAGGACAGGTCGAACTGTCCCTGGGAGTTTGTGCGACTATAACTTAACAGGAGTTGAAAGCCCCGTCTTTCTTCCATGGAAGCAGCTGATAGTTTCGAATTGCTGACCTTGCAGTTAACACCCTAACGAATAGCCACTGCTGGGAGACCAGGGCCTGGTATATACTCAGGTTCAGCAAAGGTTAGCTTTAAATGGTCAGGGAACGCTCACTACGTGATAGCAATCCATGGTCGTTATTATTTTTGCCACATTGGAATTTGACCTATGATGGTTCCCACCCTTCTGCCCAAGCAGCAGCCTGAAATTCTACTCCTGTTTTGACTTTGGCGTTTGGAATCTGTCAAAAAGTCTGAAATTGACAAGAGTGTCTGAGAATTTCATTTCCTTTTCCCCTTCAGAAGCAGAAAAAGAAAAAAAAAAGAGGGCTTTCTCTTTTAGATGGAAACCGTGAGCCTGGGGGCTGCCAACAGACATGGGGTTCAGTGCATGGGGCTTAAGAAGAACATATATGTTCCCTGTCAATGTTTCAGATCATTTTTTCCTTTTGATTTATTTTTTGGAGGCGGGAAGGAATACATCATGCACATATAAAAAAGCTTTGTGACATATACAAACCATTTAAAGCAGGAACTGGCTACAGCCTGTTTTCTGTTTTAAGACTGGTGAGTTGAGCTGGTTTTTACTGGTTTCGGAAAGCTTTGGATGAGCGTGGATGCCCCAGACCCCTTTGCAGGGTCCCTCCGTGGATCCCCAATGCACATAGGCGGAGAATATTAACAGCTTAATCTCAGACAATAGCAATGTGAAGTAGATTTTTGCAGCTGTACTTAGACTGGAATGTAACCCCTTGTAATTTGATCTCCCTCTGGACCCAATGTGAATTTATTCTACATTTTCAATATTCTCTGCTTTCTCATAGGTTAAGATCTTTACCTGACTTAGATGGTCTTTGTTGCTGGGTTCCTGTGTGTGGTTTGCCTTGTTTTGTGTACTTATCTGTGTAGGGAAACCAGGATGGGTGGAATTATGGCTGGATTGATGATTGCCTTGGGGCACGGAGTTGGGGAGTCAACACCAATGGGTCCAAGAAGGGAGAGAAGGTTCCAGAGTTGATTGTGATGATGATTGCACCACCCTTCTTGATAGGATTAAACTATTGACTTGTATGATAAGGTAAATGAAATACAAAAGATAAATAAAAAAGGAAGACTTTTCATATTTTTAAAGAGCGTCAAACAGACCCAAAGAAGACTAGATGTAGCCTGCAAGACCTAAAGTGTATACTTTACAGGAATAGTTGGCTGATGACTAGTTTAAAGGATAATAGTGAAATAAAGGCCTACCACTTGTGAAACAGAACAGCATTAATATCTTTGAAACTCCTGGGACTGCCTCCCCAATCATATCTATTGCCCTCTCCAGGATCAAATCACTATTCTGAATGCTATATTATTCATTCTTTTACTATCTATCTATATCTATCTATCTATCTATCTATCTATCTATCTATCTATCTATCTATCTATCAACCATCTATCTATCTATCTATAAAACATATGTATGTTGATGGGAGGAGGCTCAGAGATTCAACCTTTTTCCACTCACAAGAAAGATTTCAGGTGAGAGACAAAATTCAGACAAGAGTCAGAGAAAAGGTTTGAACAGAAAGAGTACGTTTATTGAAGGGGGATACTTCAGAAAAGAAATTCAAAGGGCCCTTAATCTAAAAGGTCTGGCAAAGATGAGCCAGTCAGTGTGCAGTATAGCACCATTGAAACATACACCTTTCCTCTAGTTCTTTAATGCTTCCTCACCACACACACACACCTCCACTATCATGACCCCAATTCTACCTTATAAATCCGGCTAGACCAGAGCATGTACGCAGGTACAGATAAGAGCTGGAAGCATGGGGAATCCAGGACAGATAAACCCCTCAGGATTAATAATGAGAGTAGTGATACCAGGAGGGTAAGGGTAAGGTGGGAGGAGAAAAGGGGAACCGATCACAATGATCTATCTATAACTCCCTCCCTGAGAGACAGACAATAGGAAAGTGGGTGAAGGGAGACATCGGTCAGTGTAAGACATGAAAAAATATATATACATTATCAAGAGGGAGGGGAAAAATGAGGAGCTGATACCAAGGGCTCAAGTAGAAAGAAAATATTTTGAAAATGATGATGGCAACATGTACAAATGTGCTTGAAACAATGGAAGGTTGTATGGGTTGCGATAAGAGTTGTACGTGCTCCCAATAAAATGATTTTAAAAATAAGAGGTCTGGCAAAACATAAAACTGGACCTTATATTCTGCTCCTGGCAGACCTTCCATCATAGGCTGGCTCTCTGGCAGGTCTTCTGCTGTAGGCTGGCCTTCTGGAGTGGACCCTCCTCTTTTCAGGTATGTGCACCCCAGATCGCCTGCACTCCAGGCTTCCTACTGTGCTCTTGCCTCAGATCCCCAATTCAAGAGTTTTATTCAGTCATTGTGGGGTTGTATTAACATCCTGTCTCTGTCTCCTTCCTCCCCTATAATTAACTCCTATGTCTCTGGGTCTCTGCCATTGATAAGGAAATGCGTTTTCTTCTGCCCTTCACCTTCCTCTGTGCTCCAGAGGGCTGTGCAGAGAGTGTGTCACCACCTGTCCTTTGTGTTCTGCCAGATTCCTTCCATTGTCACCTCTTCACCCCCTGCCAGCCTCTGACTAATGAGCATATGTACCAGCGACTACACAAAGTAGTGCTTGCCCTTGACTTCTGTATAAGGAGAATGATATGCTATATTTTCTTCTGTTACATGCCTTAGTCCCTCAATACTATGCGTTTTCTTCTGGAGAGTCATCTAGGTGGGTGTGTACAACTGTAGTTCATTCATTTTCTCTCCTGTATGGTTTTCCATGTTACTGGATATTGGAGCCGCTTCCGCCTTTATCTTCTATTATATACTTTGTGGCTATCATTGATGTTATTCCAGAGGGATAGTCAGTATGGCCCTTCTAGCTGCAATTCCTTATGTGCGGTATTACCATTTTAGACCCTATGGCTATGGCTATAATCCCATTTTAGAGGGAGTTCTCTGCTAAATTAATGGACGGGATTTAGGTGTGATAGAGTCCTGGCCTCAGTGGAGGCTGTGAAGCAAGTCATACCCTTTGTTTCTTTAGGGGTCTGGTCTGCTGAAAGGCAAACGCCACATCTCAGAGCCATTCATCTGTGTAGAAGAACCATCTCTGACACAGAGAGAAATCCCCGGACCCTCAGAAGAAGAGCACATTCCAGATCTGTCTCAAGAGGTGGAGGCCAAGAGCAGAGGCACAGGGATTATGTAAGGCAGAGTGACAGTCAGGCTCCCTGGTCCCCAGAGTAGGCTGAGGAACTTGGCTGCTGTGCACCAAGAACGGTGTCTTTACCTTTCACTGATCCTACCCTAACAAACCTCCTGGATCATGAGTATTGTCTGAGCTCTGTGCGGCCATTGCAACAAAGGCTTGAACCCAGGGCAGGTGTAGAATGGGCTTGGTGTCAGACTAGGGAAGGAAGGAAGGAGCAGAGTGGCGTGTCTGATCCCTGCCTCGTGGCATTCGGGAAGCCGGAGGAGATCAGCTCTGGCTCCCTCAAAGCCATTTTCCACCGTTCCCGTTTGGTGGGCACCTGTACAAAAGAGTCTCTAGGAGCAGAACCAGCGGGACAGCGGGATGTGCATATTCAACTTTAAGAAATAAAGTGGCTTTCTAATAGGATTAATATCTACTTTATTCTTTACAGCTACTTAGCACTGCATAGTGAACAATCCCAAATTTAATATGTCAAGGTAATTTGATTTTGCTCGTGATTTTGTGGGTCAAGAATTTAGCTGGACAACCAGTCATTTATGTGGTATAAGCTGCTGCTGCCGAGCTCAGAGGTGGGGGGTCCGTTGCTAAGCTAACTCCCTGGTACATGCCTGTGTTTTCATGCTCTTTGCATTTTTTTCCTCCATGGGGTAGCTCATCCTCCCGGGGGGCTGCCGCTATGGCTTGAGCTTCTCCCAGCATATTGATTTCTCAGTAGTCTGACTTCTTACATGGCAATGCGGAGTTCTAAGTGCATCTGGTACAAGCGTCAGGCAATAAAAGTTGTCAATATGTTAAGTCTTGGACCTAGACACTTGTACAGCATCATTTCTGCCACATGCCATTAGTCAGAGTAGGCACAGGGCTGGCTCAGAATCAAGGAGAGAGAGCATAGAAATTCCTGTCTCCTTTGGGCTGAGTGTCAAGTCATCTACAGATTCCCTCTAACAAGATGTGGGAGTTCCTATTGCTTTTCATCAGCAATTCTCAACCTGTGGGTTGCAACCCCTTTGGGGGTTGAATGACCCTTTCACAGGGGTTGCATGGTACATAGCAGTAGCAAAATTACAGTTATGAAGTAGCAACGAAAATAATTTTATGGTTGGGGGGTCACGGCAACATGAGAACTGTATGAAAAGGTCGCGGCATGAGGAAGGTTGAGAACTTCTGCTCTACATCCTTGCTAACACTTGTTGGAATTTTAACGTTTAGCTATTCTGGTGACTATGAAAAGAAAGAAAGAATATGAATACTTTCAAACCCTGTCTACTGAATGTTTATTGTGTGCCCACTGGATTGCTAGATCTTTTTCAAAATTTTCCTCATTTTAACCTGGAATCCTATTACCCTTAGTGAATCTCTGGCAGAATGGAGATTTGAGCAAAGATCTACCTGACTCCAAGTCCATGATTTTTAATTTCCCTTTCCTACTCCAAGATGTGAGCTGAGATCAAACTATGAAGAAAATTAACACTATTTTAAAAAGTCATTTTATTGGGGGTTTGTACAACTTATCACAATCCATATATACATCCATTGAACATGTAACACTATTAAAGAATAATGATTACACAGTGTATAAAATAATAATATGATTTGAAAATGTTCATCAATCTCATTTGGAAGCATCATTCCTCACCCAGGCCACCCCATGCCACCCCTTCTCTATCTAGCAATGAAAACTACCTATCCAACTCCCAAAGCTGAAACAAAACGAAACACACACTTTTCAATGTTCCAAAGGCATTTGTGTACAGTACAGCTTTCCAAAAGGAGCTCACCTGATGGTTAGAGAACCTAGAGCATGACAGAAAAGAGCAGGACTAGTCCCTTCCTCAGGAGCACGGCAAAATGGAAGTGGTTGGGATTTATTTGGCTAGCCCAGAAGAGGAGAAACAAGCATGTTCTGCCACAACAGGTATTCTGGATTGAACTGTGTCCCTCCTCAAATATACGTTGTGAATCCTAACCTCTGTTCCCGTCTGGGAAGGAATCCGCACGAATGAGACAGAATTCCTATAGGATGTGTCTTGAGTCAGTCTCTTGAGATATAAACGAGATTAAACAAACACGCAAGAAGCTGAGAGGGGGGAAGAGAGACCGCAAGACAGAAGAGATCTCTCAGTAACCAGGAGGGAACCTGGAGGAACCTCCTTCTTTCAGAGCTGAAAGACAGAGGAAGCCTTCGCCGGGAGCCAGCGCTCTGAATTTGGACTTCTACTTTTTCAACTGTGAGAAAGTGAATTTCTGCGCGTCCAAGTCATTCGTTGGTGGGTTGTCTGTGTTCATAGCACTAACTAACTAAGTAGGTTAGTTAGACTAATCAGTCTCACTGGTCCATTTTCATCATTTCTATTCATGTTGCTTAACAGGTCAGAGAAAAAAAACATTGCCACATTAGCATAACATTCGTCAGCCAGACTTTTACAGTGAAGACTCCTTTATAAGCGTGTGAGGGTTCCCAAGGCCAGAGCCAAAGCCTCATCAGGAGCCTCAGGACCTAGCAGCTTCGTTGTTGTTGTTGCTGTTGTAGATGAGTCCTTCTAGGTCTCCAGGTATGCTTATTTCTTTGAGTATTGCCCATAGGGATTAGTCAGAGTTAGGGAATTTTATCTAGAATATTGAAACAAGTTTGAAGGGCCTTTGGTTTCTTGTCTTTGCCTCCGGAATTTTGCATTAGTGGTTTGTCAGTCTGTCTTCGCTTTTTGCTGCCCTGTTTTTAGTAGAAAGCTGCATGAAAGAAGTTTTGATCATGGGAAAAATCCACACACACACACACACACACACACACACACATTATTGACTTAGAGAGCAAAATTAGAAATTCTTTAAATCTGAAAACCACATGCAAAGAATTTTTTTAGAATCTATGAATAGATTTGTGGTTTTAAACATAGCCACACTGAGAGAAAATTTGCAGCTAAGGATAACACAATCCCCACTTGATTGCAGGGGACCTGATTCTTGCATGGTTGAGTTTTTGGTATTGACTGCTCTTCCCTTCTAAATGATGTACTGCTAAGAAATACATTCATGTCTTTAGAATGTATACAAACACATGCATGGTGACCAGTTGCATATTCCATGAAGTCGGGAAGGAGCCTGCAAATGTCTCTTGTGGAGAAGGGTCATGCCAGAGAAATGTAAAGATGTGTCTGGTATTCAAGGCGGTCTAGTTGGTTCCAAGTCATAGCGACCCCACGTACCATAGAACGGAGCCTGCTCAGTCCTTGCCATCCTGACAATCAGTGCTAGATATGAGCCCAGCGCGGCCAACCCTGTCCATCCATCTCACTGAGGGCCTTCTTTTCCCCAGGCTCTCTAGAAGTGTGACACCCTTCTCCAGAGACCGGTGCTTCCTAATCACACGTCCAACATCAGTGAGATGAAGTTCACCATGCTTGTTTCCAAGCAACATCCAGGCTCTGCTTCGTCCAACACAGATTTCTGGAAGACCATGCTATATTCAAAATTCATCACTATACCATAAATCATGTTTTAGGGTACAAAAGAGACCCCCAAATATCAAATACAATTAAGGAGAACATTTATTATGTCTTAAATAGAACAAAGGCAAAGACAACCAAGGATTTACAGTTACACGGCTACTTCTTAGTAAGACATGGCACACAATTCATGACTGGTGGCAGATTAATATATCGCAGTTAAGGTAGGATGATAGAAATGGGAGTGGGACCATGATTAGAACACATACATTATGGTAGAAGAGCTTATAAAATTGATCCGGGGCCTTCCTACCAAGGCAGTCAGGACATGACTCAGAGAACATGACTCATGACAATGCGACCCCACTAGTGATTTCCACCAAGAACTGATCCAGACAACCCCGTAAGGAAGACAGCCCCTCCCTGAGTCAGATGGAAGGAATGGAGGTAATCCACTTTCCAGTGCACTCATGGAAGGACAAGGTTATTCGCCTCCCCAGTCAAGGGTAAGAAGGAATTCAATGGAGGCTAAGTGCATGTGGGGACTCTGCATAGAGATTTTGGACTTGTACTGTTCATCCATAGACTTCTGCATACCAGGGGCTCAGAATATAAGCGCTAATATAACCAAAGGTTTCAATTTTTTGTCAGTCTTCTTTATTCCTGGTCTAGCTTTTGCATGCATTGCAGACAATTGAAAATACTACAACTTTGCTCAGACTCACTTCGATCCCCAAGGTGATGTCTTGGCTTTTTAACACTCTCCAGAGGTCTTTAGCAAGGCATTTGCCCAATGCAATAAGTCATTTGGGCTTTTGACAGCTCCTTTCATGGGCCTTGGTTGTGGAACACAGTAAAATAAACCCCTCAACAACTCCAGTGTTTTCTCTCTTTCACATGGTGTTGCGAAGTAGTCCAGTTGTGAAGATTTTTGTTTTATTTATGTAGAGCTACAGTCTATACTGAGAGCTAGCGCCTTTGATCTTTATCAGTCAGTGTTTCAAGTCCGTATAGCTTCCAGCAAGCAGAGTTTGTACCCACTCCTAATACAGCCATCTTTCTCCCATTCTTCTCCAGGTAGTCCAGCTTCTCAGACATACAGCTTGAGTAATTATGGTGAAAGGTACGCCCTGGTGTATTCCTTTTCTGATTTTAAACTACGTAGTATTTATTAGCTTGTTCTGTTCCAATGACGGCATCTTGGTCCATGTGTAGGTCCCACAATGAAATATTTTGCAAGTCCCAATCCAGAAAATATGTCTGTTTCTTCATAAATGAAAGCTAAAAGCTTCCATTAAAAAAATCCATCAGTAATAAGCTTTAAACTTAACTTCTTTTTAGCACCAATAGAAACAGGATTTGTTTTTCTGGGATTCTAAAGGAAAATGTCTTTATTTATTTACTTGATTCCCATATATACATATTTAGTTTTTGTTGTAAAATTCAGATAATATATTTTTTCACCACATTAAATGCTTAGATTTTTTGTAGTTCCTTAGAAAATGTCTTTTATAAGAAAAATGTTTATGAAATTGATTGTGGTGGTGATTGTACGACTCTTCCTAAAAAGATTGAACTATTGAATTATATCATGTGTGAATTATATGCCAATAAAACTGCAAACAAAAGAAAAATAAAAGTGTGTAATGGGATATTGTCCTTTTACTTGACAGTGAGCCAGAAGTGTTTTCTAGTAATCTCTAGGACTTCTTCTTGCTCAAGAATTCTACAATGCTGTATAGGAAGGAAGTCAGGATCCGGAGAGGTAAGCCCCCCTGACCCCTTTTCTGACTTCTGCAGCACATTGTGGTTATTAGACGCATCCTCCTTAAACTTTCGGGGACACGAGTTAAAAAACAAAACACAACACAATGATCTCTGCAGGTTATCATGGATTCCGACTTGGGAGAGAAGTGATTTGATTTAGAGCCAGCCCCTCTCCTCAAGACTGGTAGAACAAGGTCGTTTTGTGGGATGAGTTCCCAAGGGGAGTCCCCCCGGGAAAGCTGAAACAGGAGCTTGAAATCGCAGACACTGTGCTGGTCTCACATGGGTGCTACATACAGCAAATGGGCTCTTGCTTTACTTTACAGTGTCCGCCTCCACCCTGCTCAGGCTGTCTGTCTCTGGCCTCCCCGCCCCTCCAAGGCTCTGTATGACTCATTTGTTATGGCTTTGTCTCTTTTTCTTTTAACTTGAACTCCCATTATGTTGAACTACTAAGTATCATCTGTACTTGAATAAAAGACAATTCAGGTGCAAAAAGTGTCTGGGCCAGTTTGAAAATTCTTTATACACCTAAGAATGTAGGTGGGGGGTGGACAACAGAAAAGTGGGTGAAGGGAGACGTCAGACAGTGTAAGATATGACAAAATAATAATAATTTATAAATTATTAAGGGTTCATGAAGGAGTGGGGAGTGGGGAGGGAGGGGGAAAATGAGGAGCTGATATTAAGGGCTCAAGTAGAAAGTAAATGTTTTGAGAAGGATGATGGCAACAAATGTAAAAATGTGCTTGACAGAATGGATGGATGGATGGATTGTGATAAGAATTGTATGAGCTCCCAATAAAATGATTTAAAAAAAGAAAGAATTGAAAATATATATATATATTAACTCAGCTATTCTTCAATAAAAAATACCCCACTTAAAAAAAAAAAAAGGATGTAGGTAACAAAGTCAAATGGTAACATTAAGATAGGTATTGATCTCTATGTAAAATAACATAGCTAAAGTAATGCATTAATCTAGAAATAGTACTCCTCCCATTCTCTATTTCCGAAACGATTTTATTCACTTCTGAGAATGCTTTATTTGTTTTTTTCCCTCATGACTGGGGCTATGCTTTGAAGCCCTGAGCCCAGCTTTCTAGGGGTCATCCTCCTCCGTCTAGGTGGCTGGAGAGACAGCATTCAGAGAAGAAGCCATAGTTTGCGTGCAAAGATTGCGTTGCACACCTTGGTAGCTTTTTGTCACCTCATGTCAGTCTTCATATTAAATTTAAATATTAATATCAAAACCCATAGGGCTGTGAAAGGAGCTGCCTTGTGCTAGTTGTCAAAGTAAGGAAACATCTTGGTCAATCTTTTCACTCTCCGTTTAGCTTCTCTTAGGGTACAGACCCTGCTCCAGGATCATCCTTCTTAACCTTTTTCTTCTCTGCTCTTTTCTTCTTGCTATCTTTTGGGAAGGAGCCCTGGTAGCATAGTGGTTATGAATTGGGCTCTGATTGGACAGGTCAGCAGTTTGAAACCACCAGTTGCTCAGCTTTCCCTGAAACTCACAGGGGCGGGTCTATGAATCATTGCTTCCACAAGACAGCAGTGACGTTTTGTTTTTCTTTTCTCTTTTGGGACTCTGTCCATGCAAAGGCTAATCCAGGGAGAAATTGCATTGTCTTGGAAAGGGTCTACACTTGAATGGTGAAGATTTGACCTTGAAGTCTAAATTGCCCACTTAAGAACTGGGTTATCTTGAACAAATCACTTAAGCTTTCTAAGCCTCAGTTTTCTTATCTGTGTTAAATGTGGCTGTGTGGACTTAAAAGACATAATAATGTGTGTCGCCTGGGCTAAGGTGCTATTATGATACCGGCTGTCACTTTCATTTTTAATGTGCCTTTGAATCTGAAAGACTAGTCTGATGGTGGGAGTTTGAGTTTTGGAAGCCTGATGAGGGGGAGAGAGAGAGGGCATGGGGTTGGGACTGGGGCTAAGGCAGGGTAGAAGGTGACCAGCACCTTTGAAATACATTATGGTTGGTAGGTAGTAGCTGTTGCTTATTCACAAAACCATGCACTCTTGAAGCTCAGACCCTGGAGTTCCTCTAGATTCTGATGAGGCAACTGAGGCCCAGTGAGGCCAGTGATCTGGTCCCAGATTACATAGCTGGCTTGTATCAGAGCTGGGAGCTGAGCCAGATGTCATTATTCCCAGTAGAGGAATTGGCAATTAAAGGTCAGGCTTGCAAGCATCCATGTTTAGTCTGAAGGAGGCTTGTTAAATTCCATTTCCTCTGAAGAATTCCGAAGGGAAGCTTTTAGATACCCTATGCTTGATTTCCGCCTCCACCCCCCACCCCCAGTCATCTGGGTGAAATGATTTCACAAGAATCTTGGAAAAGGGAGTCCTCTGGCCCAGTGCTCCTCACCAAGGCCCGGTTAGGGCTGTGCCTCTTGAATGTGGTGAGCCCTCAATGAATGGTGGGGGCTGCAGGTCCCACACTGCCTTCCGACAGAAGCTTCTTGGCTGAGGTGCTTGTATTCGACTCTACCGATAAAATGTTTTAAACGTACAGAGAGGGTTTTAAGCAATGGGAAGAACACTCGGCACTCCCAACAGCATCTCAAATCTTTGTTGTTGCCATCTCTCACATCATTTTAAATAAATACAACAGGTACCGTGGATGCTTGAACTTGATACGTATCAGGGTTTGTGTCTTTTTATACTTTAACACATGTGCATACCCATAAACATATGTACTTACCCATAAATAGTATATAGCGAAGTGTTACATGCTTTTTAAACTTTACATGCACAGCGTGTGTGGTTCGTGTGCCCGGCTTATTTCAACTTCATATTGTGGAGGTTTATTCATGCTGAAACATGTAGGCCATGAGAGTTTAGCTGTTATAATTTGCACTGCAAATGATATCACACCCTCATCTCTTTAACCTCTGTGGTAAGGGACAAAAGAGACTCGGGGTTTCAAACATACTTTATGGAAAACATTGATTAAGTCTTTAACAGGCCACAAGTAGCCCTGGTGGCTTAGTGGGTTGTTTGTTGGGCTGCAAACTGCAAGGTCAGCTGTTGGAAACTGCCAGCTGCTCCTGGGGAGAAAGATGAGGCTCTCTGCCCCTGGGCAGTGTTATGGCCTCAGAACCCCCTGAGGGCAGGTCTGTTCTGTTCTACAGGTTTGCTACGAGTCAGCATCCACTTCATGGCTGTGAGTTTGGTTTGAAGAGAAACAGGGCAAAGACAATTCATTTGCATGAGGGAGAACATAGGCTGAGGGCCGCACTGGCCTCCCAGAGTGACAGATGCTCGACATGAAAGTACAAGGCAGAGTCACAAGGGCGGGATCGGTGGCAGATCGATGTATCATGGCGGCAAGTGGAACTATACAAGCATACAAGGGGGGCTGTGATTGGGACACAGTCTTGGCTACAGAGACTAGGTTACGGTTTTGGTTTGGGGCTCTCAATCAAAACCTCTAAGCTCTGTAAAAGAAAATTTGTTTCTGCCATGGTAGGGTTCATTTCCCCTAAAGTGCATTTAAAGCAGGCCTCTGAGTGATTTTAGGATTTAAGGGGGGAAATGGTTTTAAAGCAAACTAGTCCCTCCCCTTGTCTTTGCACCCTCTTCTCCCAGCTTTCGGTGAGGTGCAGTTGGCCCTGCGCTGCTGCACAGGCAGGCCTGCGGGCGTTTGATCCTCGCTCTACTTGCCGCTTGTTTTTGGAAATCAGCACCCAGAACCGGCAACCAGAAGTTAGCTTAGTTGCTTCAGGGAGGCATTTCAGGAAAGAAGAGCCTGCTCCTTATTCCAGGCCAGGCCCAGAGGTAGAGTTCCTGCCTTCCTTGTGGGGAGGCCCTTGTTCAAAACCAGCCACTGCTCCTCATGAGGTTCATGAGCAGAGCTTTTATTGTGAGACAGGCTAGGAAGAAGCCCACAGCAGGTAATCAGCCAATGAAAACCTAGAGGATTACAAAGGCTTGATCCCCAAGGAGCTGGAAGCTGGTGCACGGTCAGGCAGTACTTCATGCTGCTAACCACGGGGCTTGCCATGAGTGCGCCCAAGGAAGTGCAGCTAATAAGAACAATCCTGCCCGCAAGGCATCTTCCACGACCCCTCCTCGCTCTCCTTTCCTGGGTGCCCCAATCCCACGGAGGCACAAGCGTGATTTCAGTTTGACAAGCGGGTTGCGATGTTGCAGTCATGGGTCTTCGCATTCTCCAGGGACAGCTATTTCCAAGAAGCGGGAGGGAAGTGTGGTGGTGGTGGTGGGAGGGGCCGGAGTGGGGGAGCGAATGAAGCCACTGCACAGCTGCTGGTTGTAAAAAAGATTAAGTCCTCCCCACAGCTGAGTGTATTTTACCAATGTAAATGTTGATCTCCCCTTTTAAACCCTCAAGGGACCCTGAGGAGAGGGATGTGTGTCCCTGGAACCTTAGCGGGGCAGCAAAATGGCAGGCTGTTTGGGAATGCAGCGGACCCCCAGCAAGAAGCTTCAAGAGCGGAGAGAGAGGGTCAAAGAAAGGTCAAGGGGAAGGAAGGTGGGGGAGTCAGCCGGCTCAGATGGAATATTCCAGGCCGTGTAAGCTTTTAAATAAATATTCCCACCCCTACCCATGGCTTATCAGGCCCGCTTAACCTTTTGAAGTTTACTAATCTTGCTACGCTCAGGCTTGCTGTGTTCGCGTCGATAGGGATGAGATCTGGTTTTAACTGTCACATTGTCCCAGAAATGGAGGCCCGTGAAGGCCGGGAGGTCTGTTATCAGGACGGAGGACTCTGTGGGGCCCCGTGGGCTGACTGAGACCGTCCAAGTATAGGGAAGGGCCCTCCTGACCTAAGGACTGGATCTCCCAAGAGCGCCCCTCCTCACTCTGCCTGGGCTGCTCAGTGACCCCCTGGCTGGGGTCTTACACCTCCTGTCCCTAGTGATGTCTCTGTGACATTCCGCCCCAGATGCTCCGTGCTTAATTGCACGATTATCAAAACCGAAGCAGCAAGGGCCAGACAGGATGAACG